GCTTGAGGTTCATTCGACAAATCTAGTTCAGGTAAAACTTTTAATTTAATGTCTTCAAGTATCTCTTGATATTCCTCTTCTTTTTCTCCAAAAACGGCTATGGGTGCCCATAGGTCATCATTATCAAAGCCATTTGCTAGATGTTGAGCGTTCTCGACTTCTGATTTCAGTTTATTATCTGAAATAACTTTCATGTTACCAATTTCTCCATAGTCCTCATAATCATCGTAACCGCCCATATCGGATTCAGCAGGTCCAAAGGCAAAAGGACCAGACGCAACCATGTTTAAGTCTCGTCTTGGACGAGGACCTCTTTCCAGTAAGTTTGGAATATTTGATTTCGCATCATTTAGGTTGGCATAAGAAGATTCATCGATATATGGTAAAGTAGGCTTTTTGCGCCTGACTGGACTGTTTGGTGTGAACGTAGTTCTTTGGTTGCCCCTCATCGTAACAGCGTTAGATGGAGCATTAGAGATTGTATCAACATTATCTTCTTCCTAATAAATAATAAGAGAATTCAAGTCGGAATCTGTATAAATTGACAAAATATGTATATACCAATCACACACTCTTTATTCCTCTGATTGAACAAAAAAAAATAAAACAAAAATTATAAATAAATATTTAAATCTGAACTCAATATTATCGTTCATTGTGTTAATAATAATTTATCAAAGTACCTTGGAGAAAAACGAACCTTTACAATATGAAAATCATAATCCGGAACAGTTCTTATAGAAGAGAGTCGCCCGATTGGCTTTGTTTGTAACGAATCCAGTGATTGTAAGCGTCCTGGAGGCAAAAAAGAATCAGGATGAATAGTTCCAATTCGCCTGTTTGGAGGCTTGCCAAGAAAAATGGCTGCATCTTCGATTTCATTGTCGTCAGATAAGATTTCCGGGCTGTCTCGATCTATTTCTTTTATAACTTCATTTTGCAGTTGAGAAAGATCAGAAGGTTGATTGGACTGCGATTGTAAGGTCGTTGAAGCGGCGGCTTTAGAACGTCCACGTTTTTTGGGACCTGCAACATTACTCTGAGAGTTTGTGGGAAGCGCGTCATTTGCCGGAATTGCGGCCTTGGACTGACGCTTTCTAGGTGTTTTTGGCTTAGGAGTTTTTTCTTTTTGCGAAACTCGTTTTTGCATTTTTGGAATTTTGAACAAATAATCTGATCATTTTTTGTTTAACTCGATACATTTTTCTTTATAATCACGTGATTCCAAAAATTTACGGTTGGTAAACAATGCAATATTAATAATTAAATCTCTATTTGCTATTTATTTTACTGATTGTTATTTTTAATT